AACCAAAAATTACTAAAGTTTAGATATATATATTATAATATATATATATAATAAGGAAAAAATCGGGACCTGGGCACCATTTCGCTATACAGAGGATGTCGTTAGAACCGAAGGTCATTATAAGAGAGGCTGCATTGTAAATTCCAAAGAAGGCAAGAGCATGGACCCATACACTCCTTATCAATTTTCCACAATGGAATCAAACTCACATGTTCTGCCTACGACAGCAAAGCCTGTAATCACTACACTTAACCTCACAGAATTCAGACTGAAAAACAGAAATTATGGCTGAAGAAGAAACAGGTGTTGTTTCCATGTAATTTGAACACGAAAAGCAAACAAACACTCTTGCTGTTGCTTCCCGATGGGCGAAAAACACCCTAATGTGCCACCTTAGTCTTCTTCCCTGTTGCTAACACTAGCCACTAGGGGCGTAAAAGTATAAAATACAGTCCAGATCGGGCAAGCAAAGAGCTATGCATGCCACGTAACCTACAGGGAAGAAAATATACATACAGTGTCATGTATCAAAAAGTCTAGTGTAGAGACAAGTCTTTATTGACTTACTTAACCGTTTAGCTATTCATTAATTTGTTAACTAATAGCCTTTCTTCACTCAAAGACGAACACCTCTAGTTTTACTACTACTACTTCTAGTTCTCTAGTCTTTTCACTATTTCACTAAACTACATCTATTATTATACTCACTCTAGACTTTTACAGAATCTTGAGACCAAAGCGTAGTGCTAAACTCAGAAGTAATCAGTGGCGCCAAAAGCCATACTCCATAGTTATTGTTGGGGCCAAAACCGGATTAAATCCCCCTACCCCTGCCCTTCCCCCTTACCCATACTACCCTACTATCCTAATCCTAACCCATAAAGTTATTGTTGATATTTCATTTACATTATACTATGATTGTTCTTGGGAGCAAAAGGGGAGATTAGCTTCAAAACCATATAATTTGATGTTTTGCAATTAGCTTTGATATAATATTTTCTCTCTCTCGCTGAACATAGTATCGGCATGCGCAGCAAAAAGTAATCGTTTCGAAACAGAAGTACAGTCAAACCTGTGTAAGTTGTAAGACGCAGCCCATTGTCACAGAGAAAAGTGTCCGTATAATACAGGTGGCCGTCTTAGGTAGGACTGATCAAGATGAACAAAACAAACCATTCCCTTCTGAGGTCCCAACCGAAAGTAGCCGCATTGTTGTTGTTGTTGGTTTGTATTGTTAGTTATTTTTTATTTTGTTGCCGATTTTGCTTCGGTCACAATAAAATTTAATGTGTCATACGAAGAAGACCAAAAGCCATGTTAAAACAAACACATGGGTCGCCACCACTCGGAGAACGAGTGACGCAAGTTCATGTTGATGTCCATTGTTACTTTGTTACAGACTGGGTAAACAGTGACCACTCATCTCACTTACAATTTGTGTATGAGTTGTGGGCGGGGATTGTGGGTTATGAGGGATCACACGCTTATCTCACCAGCAGCTGAAAATTTGTTACCAATTATTGGTCAACAGTGGGAAGGGTCAACGCAACATAATCGGTTGGAGGGACTACCTAACAACAATGACAGATGATTGGATTATGACAACTTGCCCACAACGCCAGGGGCCAAAGCATAATTTATGACTAACATGACAGAACATAATGGAGTCACTAAGGTGGCCGTCTAAGACAGGGGTTATAAACATTGTAATTGTTTGGTGTGATAGTGGTTGTGTGTTAAAATATGGTAGCCGCGGCCGCGCTGGACAGGTAGTCATTTTACACAGTGAAATTATACATAGAAAAAACGCAAGGGGGGAACAGGAAAGCGGCCGTTTGTACAGGTGGCCGTCATGGCAGGTTCGACTATAATTAGTGGTGCCAAAACTCAGTTAGATCTAGATCTACATGCCCCCCTGAAACCCCCCTAGTTAAAATCAAGTGAAATATTTACTGCTCATTTTGTACTGAAAAATTGCAGCCCATCTCTCGCTCTCTTTCAGATAAAAACATCAATACTGTAATACAGAGAGGAAAGAAGACTTTTTTTAAAGTCAGTAATCCATTTTTAGAAGTAGGCCTAGATCTAGATAAATCTAGATCTATCTAGATCTAGATCTAGATCTAGATTTAGATCTAGAGAATCTAGGCCTACTCTTGGGGCCAAAACCATGGATTGCAGGATAGTAGGGTAGTAAAGATTTAGTAACCTTTTTGCCAAAACTGGATTATCCTTACTAGAAATCTAAGCCACTAAGCAGTCTAGGCCCTACTAGATTTCTACTTTAGTTTAGACTCTAGATCTATCATTCTATCTCTATTCAGTTCAAGGGTCAGGCTCAGGCAGGCTATTCCGAATTCCGACGGACCCCGCCCAGTGCCCAATTTGGATGGCCTTAAAATGCATTAAAAATGAACGCCTAAACTTGCCAGTTAACACTGACTCTAGATCTAGATCTAATCATTTCTTTATTTGATTTGAAGCGTATATGACTATATGTGCAAAGGCATGAAATTTGTTCAGAAGCAATCTTTTCTGTTCAATCAATTATTAAAGATAGATTTGCAATCAAACGTTCCGCCCACCAGTTCCGCTAGGAAAAAGAAAAGAATGCGGCTCTGCGGTGACGCAATTCAGCCTTCTTTCCACTTGCTTCTAATTCTCATTCAGCAAAGTGTTAAACTCACCCCAAGTCAGGAGAATCGTCAGACTATCAAGGAATGAAATGAAGGCACCAAGGCCGCGAACTGATTACAACACAAACTAAAATCTAGTTGCGGAGCTTGTCGTCAATTCAGTCATGCACCTCTCTGCGAGCAGCCATTATTCAAGGACGGTAACTCCGAATGACAGCGATAGCGTACCGGTTACTTAGAACCACAGGTACTGTAAACTCTCGAACTTTCACCTTCTATAATTTCTATTAAAATTTGCTTCCGTTCCAATTTTATAACTGAAGATTGAACGTGCTAAATATGTCAAATAAAGATATTAAAATTCATTTTACGAAAGAGATAGAGAGATCAGGATTAGGTAGTACACGTTTTGATCCTCTTTTCGTTTCAGAATTGAGCCTTTATAAGCCCCATGCATTTGGTGAGAAAAAAGATAACAGCGCTTTTGTTTACAGTAAACGTTTTTTGTTTGTCCTTCAGAAACAATCGAAGCGCCAATATGTGAATCTGTGCTTACGTGTAGATTATTTTCCTCTACACGTCATTCCAACCCTTTAGAGTTAAATCTGTCTAAGCAAGCATAATATTATAATTAGGCTACTTCCCTGTTCTAACAAAGTATTGAACCCCTACAGCAGCGCAGCTGTCACAAAAGATTAGGCGTATGAATATTTCTATAATAATATACATCATATTATTCTGCGGTGTGCAGACTTTACAGTCATCGATTCTCTATTAATTGTTAACACAGGTGGTGGGAGTGAAAGCCACGCCCTTTTCAGCTTTTGCATGCGTGTTAAAACGCATGCGGTATATATACAATGGGAACTGCAAAAATTAATTCACATTTTATTGTAGGGCCTATTCGGTGTGGGACAGGACGGTGCATAAAATGGTTTAAAAGGGTTCGGGGATGGGGGGGATGGGGGACTCCAAAACAGTCTAATTCAGTGACGTCAAATTGCGCCGTCTTGAAGTGGAACTTCTGATTACAATAATGAGAATCTAGGTCAAGCAGATTGTTGCAACTTTACTGAGTAAAAAAACTACTAAAAATATAGGCGAAAAGAGTTTTCTTTCAAAGATAAACGTTGTTTGAAAAGGAACCATGAATTGTTTTATTGTCTGCTGCTTTTTGCGATAACGGGATTCCTTTCTTTTGGATTTTTTTTTAAAGTTGGGTTTTTTGTTGGTTTGTTGTTGTTGTTGTTTTGTTGCTGTATTGTTGTTGTTGTTGTAGTTTTTTGTTGTTGTTTTTAATTGTTGTTGTTGTTGTTGTTGTTGTGTTGTTGTTGTTTTAACGACTGTCTCCCTTTTTCTTTCTTCATCCAATCCCACCCCCAACCCCCCTATAATCTATCTCGATCTATCTGTCCGTCTGTCTGTCTTTCTATCTATCTATCTTTCTATCTTAATATATTTATATTATACTGACCAATCTTGTGTGCTGTAGTAATATATTTATATTATACTGACCAAGCTTGTGCGGTGTAATAATATATATATTATCCTGACCAATCTTCATTATCTTGTGTGGCGTAATAATATATTTATATTATACTGACTAATCTTGAGTGGTGTAAAAATATATTTATAAATACTGACCAATCGTGTGTGCTGTAATATTTATTCTACACTGAACTAACCGGCTACAGAGCACAGAGCTTATCTATCTGGGTCATGTCCTGAAAGGGTTAAGCGAGCAGATAAGCGGCCGGTATCAGGAACTGTATTACATGATGTACTACAAGTCTCTGAACAGCCCCGCGGCCTGCCCGCGTCACAAGTCAAAGGTTTGCCGTCACTCACACACAGGCGCTGGGTCAGCGGGGCTGATAGCGGCGCCGCCTGGCGAAGACCACGGAACAGGCACGTGACGACCACAGCTGGCTGCATTTTGCTGGGGCTGGACGTTGGTTCGGTACTGGGGTTAAGAAGTGTGATCGGCCTCTGGATGACTTCAGACAACGCTGAGAATATGGGCAAAATTCTGAAAATAAGGGAAAAATTAATTTGTTAAAAAGAATGATCATGTATAACAATGATAGCTCTTATTACTTTCCAAATACATAGGTTCAATGACCTTATGCAGTTGCGAGCGCCGTAAAACCTCTACTAAAACTAAAACTTAAAAAAAACAACAACATTATTATTTAAAGTTGGGTCCCAAAGATGATCATTCTAGTAATTTCCTTTTGCTACTTTATTCCAAAAATTCTTTAGAGGCATCTAAAGAGAAAGCTAATTTCAGCTTTTAGTTTTTTACCTAAGTGAGTATGCTCTCACTCAAAGTCCCTCTTGCGAACAGTACTCTGCTCCTACCACTTACCGTAAACATTTTCACCTTCCTCTAAACCTTGACGCTCAGACGTCAGTTACACCAAAATTTTTGTTCAACGTTCGCTCATTGTCATTGAAGCTATAGTCAACTAATTCAGATGTTAATTCATGATAAAGTGCATGTTTGTATTGAGTATATATATATATATATGTGAAGTGGTCCACGAGTTTCTCGTATTCAATAATTTTATCAGAGATTTCTGGTAGTTCTGCACGATTCTCTGGAGCAAATTTTTCATAAGCAGCTGAAAAGCCATCCACGAGACTTTTCATTTTTTTCCTCTGAGTACTTCCCAACAGCAGCATCATCTGCAATGTATGCAATTCCTTAATGGATCACGCCTGATCTTTGTCTTTGTCTTCGGGTGCCTACGCTAAAATACTCTGGCGGGAGTGTAAAAGCAAACAAAAACCTCTCCTGTGTAACTCTGGAAAGAATGTCGAGCAGTAGAGCAGACAATAGAAATACAGTGGAGACTCTCTTTAACAACATCGTCGAGACCACAAAAAATTTTCGTTGTTGTGGATAGTTGTCGTTGTAGAGAGGCAACCAAAAATTACTAAAGTTTAGATA